CCACATAATACTTCTTAACTTCATCTGGCAGTTGTTGTTAATGAACATCTTCCACAGCCTCCCAGACAAGACTGTCCTTACAGATACCCCTGTCCTTCAAAACTCTATAATCCAGAACCACAAAATTATCAACAGAAGCCATAAAACACTCTTTAAGAAAGAATTAGCAGAATTTGAACAGAACTGTGTATTTTTGATACAAGACAGTGTTTGCATTGCCCTCTCCAAATGCAGGGATCTTCTCTTCCAACATCGCTCAACGTGCTTATGGTTTAACTTTACTAAAACTGTCACCAGTGTGAACTACTTGCTTAAAGCTGTGCGGTTTCATTACGGTACCAGCAGAATGCTTCTAGGTTTGCTTTGGGTTTGGATTTTTTTTATAAATACAGATGTAACTTGATCTGTATAAGAAATCCTTCCTAAAATAAGAAAAAGCTAGAAATGCAAGGCTGTAGCAGATACTTTAGATGTGTCTTGACTGACTGAAACATGCCTCCATCCCCTGCCCCAACCCTTTTACCGCACACCTTTACCTTGCAAAGCAAGGTCCTGCTCCAATTTCTTTCAATCCCACACCAGGACCCCAGTCTTTCCTGCCTTGGCCAAGGCCTTCCCTCCTCCCAGAAACTATAATCACATCCCAGTTCAGCCCGTTCACGCCTCCTGCCTCAAAGCCTGCTCCAACCTTCCGAGACAGGAAGGCAGACTGAAAAACTGGTTATGATCCTGCAGCGGAGGCTGCGAGCAGACCTGGCTAGGGAGCCAGAGAATTGCCAGAGAATTCCGGCTGACCGCGTGCATGAAGACACTTACCCTGCAGCTCAGGTGAACACCCGCACAAAGGCAGGAGCTATCGCAGTCGAGTACCACGCTGGCACGGTCCCAATACCCGCAGTTTGGGAATCTGGCATAGGAACGCAGCTGCAGTGCTTTGAACTATCGCTGCAGAACGCTTTAATACTCCCTGCGTTGGGCATGTGTGCAAGGACACCACCTCGGTGATTCCTGAACTACAACTGTAATTGTAATAAATCGCCTCTGATACATTGGTAGCTATTGACAAGCTTTCAAAAAAGACTCATGGATTTGATGGCAAATGCCCACTAAAATTAGCAGCAATTTGGTTTTTGAGTTTAAATGGAACATAGATCTCCTTTCCGAAACATCTGAAAGCCTTTGTTTAAATAACATAGTTTCAGTATTTGTCACACACTGAGGATTGTACTAGAATATTCTGCACTATGACTTAAAATTCATATGTAGCTGGGTTTCTGGGGTGAATTACAGCAACCCTAGAAGTTGCTGTGATTTACAGAACCATTTTACAAATTCCCACATTCTGGGTCAAAGCTGAGAATAAGCAGTGTTACAAAAAAAAAAAATACAATAGTAGTCAGCCACCACAGTCAAATATGCTTTTGATGCTAAGGCACTTGAAGAAGTGACCCTCTGAAATGGCTTCCCGGTCCTTTCAGGCTCCGCACACGCTGCCGGAGCAGCACACCGCTTCACTACCTCCGGCGCTCCGTGTGATCCGTGGATCGCCAATGAACATCCCCGATACCATTTCCCCATCTAAAGTATGAAGTACGCCACTTCATTACCTCACAAAAATACACTGTTGATGCTTTGCAGTAATTGAAACCCATCAAGAGCATTGTTTACATTTGCAAAGCCTCTTATTTGTCAGGTTTTTCTGCTACCAAAAGCCATGGGCACAAGCTGGGCATCGGGTGCCTTCTGCCTCGGTAGCGCAGTCCCATGGTCCCAGGTATCACAGAGACGTGCAATGTGAGAATACACCCTGCCAGGTAAACTTCTCCAGGGTGCTAGACAGCGAGCTTCCACTCACTAAAACTCTCTCATTTTGCTGAATTTCACCTCCATAAAGAGAGGACTCTATTCTCATTCTCCTTCGGAGGCCAGAGCTGGGAAAATATCCAAAGTAAACAGAAAATAAAGAGCTGTCGTTTAATATTCTGAACCAGGCTGGCTACTCGCCAGCTATAATATAAACATTAGACATCATGAAGCTCCTGTAACCATCATCTTTATTTCCACCCAGCTATGTTTACTGGGCTTGTTAATACATACAGTGTGGCAACTGTCTTCCCACGCAGCTAGAAATTGGAGCACAATTAAGAGAAATTGCATACTTCTACAGGAGTTGCAAACCAAGTGTTCATCAATATGCTATAAAGTTTTAGGAGCAAGTAATTTGTGTCTTCAACGAGAAAAAAAAAAATCCCCTAAAGCCTGCTTCGGAGCAAACTGGTAAACTGCCAAGAGAGTCAGTTAAGTGATGTTTAAACTTGCAGGTTTTGGAGGGAGATTATATATTAAAAAAGGTAGAAGCAAGTTTTCTACCATATATTCTGCAAAGACTTATTTGTTAAAGACGACGGTCACAGCAGCTCAGGAGCTTTAAATCCATTTCTGACACAAATTCCTTGGGGGGGGGAAATCACTTTTTTTTTTCCTTGCCTCCTCTCCTTTTTTTCCTTTTTTAAAAAACTAATAAAGCAGCACGCTGACACTTACGTTTCCATGCCCACACACGAAATTCAGAGCACCAGTCCTACATTCCTTTGCCAGAAGGTGCTCCCTACATTAGTACGGGATATGCATAATTACACTGTAATTTTATGAGTGATGCAATAAACTGAAAGTTTTCCTGAAATTCATCAAAATGACAGAAATGCATTCTGGTGAAGTAATCAAATTGCCTATGAAAAATGCTTTGCATTTCTCACTACACTTGTCTCAAAAGCCAATTTATGCTCAAATTGCTGCTAATTCTAACCAATTATAGTCATGTTGCAATGCAGACAGATAGCCTTCTCAGGAACAGAGCAGGGGACAATCCAAAACCTGATCCACATCAGTGGAAGAAAAAAAACCAAACCAAAACAAAAAAATAAAACCCAAAAATCTTTCTGAGCTTCTGACACTGATGACTTCCAGACGGGATTTGCCCAGCATATTTCTAACAGCTATTCTGAAATTTGGTTTTCCTCAGAAAAAAAAGTAACAAGTAGCTTGCTACTTATTAACCCAATTTCTTCCTTTTTCCACCTTCCTAATATTGATTGATTTTATCATTTGTTTATGAACAAGAAACTCCCAGAAAGGGAAACCTCATCATACTTTAAATTGTTACTATTATATTTTAATTGCAATAATGTTATGTCAAGTGATTATACTGGTTACATTATACAATATTACGCAATCATTCTGTGATTTTTTCCAACAACTTAAATGTCTGCTTTTTTTCAAATGGCTCTAACATCATCTTCTTTACAATCTTATTAAAAATACGTGAATTTTAAGAGAGAGAGATGCTGGCTGAATTTATACATTCATTATTTCCCCCTTAATTTTGTCCCTTCCCTTTTGCACATAAAATTATCATCAAAGCAGCAACTGGAGATTTAATATTTTAAACTTTAATTAGAGAACAAACATTACTGTAAATAAGTAGAGAAAACAGCATGTTCACTGAAAATGAAATGGATGATTTGTAGACAACAAGAGTATTTACTAAAGCAGTTTCTTTTTTTTTGGCATCACAGAAGCGCTGGAAGCCAGGAAGGAGTTTTGGTTTGGGGTTTGGTTTTGTTTTTTTTTTTAAATAATTACTAAAAGGGTATTCACATCATGTAATTTGAAGGATTATTACAATGCATATAGCATTCGCACAAAGCAGACTGTGACCCTCAGACTGAGATATTCTCTCTCCTACACACGCACTAAAACTAGAGGGAAACGTGGACATTAACTTTGCAAAATGGCTGCAAATAGAAACCTGCATCTGTCCTCCTCTTGGATCCAAAAACCTGGAAAAATCAGGGCCAACTCACGGCATCAAAACTCGCTGCTCTCTCATGCTGCGAGCTGCACGCTTCCCACGCTTGCCATGGCACGCGGGAGATCCTCACCGGTGAGCAGCCCAGCAGAAACAGGGCTGTGGCCACACTGGGAGGTGGCACGTCCCTGCTCTGCACAGGCTCCCGCTCCCCAGCGGGATAATCCACAGCCAATCTTATCCTGCCCCGTGCTGCTTACCGGGCTTTCTTCAGATGGAAAAGGCGGGAATACCTGAGCAACTACAAGAAGACAGTGGCCAAGATCCAAGTCTAGGGAATGCAAAAAGCACCTTTGCAAAAGTTGCACAATAGTTTGCAAAGCTATTTTGCAAAACTAATTTATTTTTTTTCTTGCAAAACTATTCCATAATCTGATGCAACACTGAAAGAAACAGGATCTTAGGCCAGAAACCTCAATTTTGGCACAGACAGAATAGATAATCTGCCCTCTCTCTCTGTAGGTAAGCAGAAAGGAGGAAAAATTTTGAAGCCCTTCCCCCTTCCACCTCCTCACGGCAATGATAAGCATCTACCACCTAGAGAGCTGTAAGTAACTATTAAGGTCTGATTAAGAAGCTTTATAATATGTTTTATAAGCCATGAGATAGTATAAGCACATATGAAATATCTTATGAGCAACTAGCAATAATGGCTGAGGCGTTCATAACTGTCTGTGTGATTTCAACACCTTCCAGTAAAACCAATACTGTGCATGTCTCAAGCAATACTCCTTCCCAGAAACCCCTTGTCCTCCTCCAGATACAAAAGACCTGGGCATGATTCATTTTTGCACAACATTTTAAAATTGCTTAAACACCTTAGGACACGCAGGAAGGATGATAAATGTCTAACTCCACCACCACTGCATTTATACAGCAATCTTGTACCTGCATTTGGGTTTTGAAAGAGTTTGGATTTGGGTCACCCCACCAGAGATGACAAATAAAATTCCTTATGCACTTTACTTGGGAAACTTTGCTCCAGTCAAAACTGCACTATCAGAAAGTCCAGGTACGTTATTACACATATATGATTATACTTCAACATTCCATAGAATGAAGCAAACTTGTACAAAGTGGCTGGAAGTGGAACTTGGAGAACAATACAAGAACAAAAGCAAAGCAAACTTACAGGGACTGTAAACCGCTTAATCCTCTGATGGCCTCATTAGGGACAGTCTTCAGCTGATTATTCTGCAGGGTTCTGTAAAAATCCACTGTGTTAGTAAAGCAGAATTTGACAATAATCTTTATCAAGAGTAGAGGTGACAGAAGAGCCCCTGGTCCTGCTACGGTTTCACAGATTTCTAGTGTACGTAAAAGCACGTGGAATTATCCGGACCAGATGCCCAAAGGCAACGATGAAACAAGACAATGGTCTGAGTTTTATTTACAACTCATTCATTAACTGTGTTAATTCGCAGAGCAAAAGCCTCTGCCATAATACACTGAAACTCCCCTAGCAACTCACTGAAGAGGTTGAACACCACCAGTATAAATTTGCTGCAATGAATGATATTTTATTATTTCCTTGTAAAATCATCCTATACATGCTACAAAATACACAAACCTCTAATTTTTCTTAAAGCCGCATCAATACACAATGCATTAACAATCTAATTTACAAAGTGTGTTCACAACAAAGCACCTCTGGGCACAACATTAAAAAGACACAGAATGAAACTAGAGCCAAGCTGAATTTATACTGGGGTTTGTGGGTTTTTTTAAGAACTTCTCTTATGGGACAACATATGATTGTATGAGGAGTTCTTTTACAAAGAGAATATAAATAACTGAGATCTCACATATTATCACATCTTATTAGATGTTGGTGCTTACTGGGGTAAAAGGCAAGTGGACAAGTAAGTTAATTGTTAATTAATATCCAAGTCCCAAATTTTTCAAGAACTGCTAGAATTTCAGGCACCTCTGGTGCTGAGAATCCTGATGGAGATACCTTCAAGAGCATTGACACTTTGCATTCAATTTACAAAACATCCTATTAAGCGGTAGTGCAGACGGGCAGTTTCCTGATCTGAACCCCACTTGCGCTGTCTGTTGATGCGTCTTTCTTTACAATCTCGGGGTCCTTTTCCACTGTTTTTCTTAAAATATGCGTTGAATTAACTATCTATTACCCTACTAGCAACTGGAAATATTTACATCAGCATAAGCGCTACAATTTCTGGATACAGGTTTTTCAAACTCCAAACAACAGAAAGCTCTTTTTAGCCTTAGTTATGGAAAAACAGTTGAAATGAATATTCTTATCTCAGGAAGGAAAACAGGATATGGGAAACAGGGCACACAATTCTAATTATTTTTTATTAAAACTTTTTCTCTCATAGTAAATCATTTTCACCTAAAGAAGCATCAAACTATAGAAATTATTTCTATCACCAGTAGGGGATGATTCAAAGGTCAAACAGCATTTTAAATCTCTAAGTACTAGTACTAGCTGATAAGGTCAGGGCACCTGTCGGAGTGAACTGAGGGGGTGGAGAACAACAAAAAGCTTTACATGTTCTTTTTAGGATTTTTCCTTCTTAGGATTCTTCAGCTACAAGACATATTTTCCCCCAGCCTACCAGTAAACAGCCTGGCTTGCACTAAGAAAGCATACAGCTAGCTATGAAGCTCTAAAACCCGTTTACTTACAGAACTTTGAGTTCTTTCAACCCAGACAAGGCCTTTGGATGGATAAAAGAAAGATCGTTGCCAGCCAGTCGCCTGCAAAAAAATTGCAATAATAATTTCAGTCACAAAATACAGCACGTCTACACCATCTAACAAAGAAAATCACCGATACATCCAATCTTGCAAGCAACTGTGCATTTTGCATTTGATTATGCCATATTCATGATCTTCCAAGTTTACAATAGTTATTTTAGTCACTGCATGTTTTTAACAACGAGAAAGCATTATTCAGCGTGTTTGCAAAAGTATATCCATGAGGCTAGGAAAAAAAAACCCCAACACACCCCAGAATGATAAAGAATTTTCTTTTGGTACTAGGTTTGAAGAGTGCATTTACCAACTATTAACACGATTCTCTGGCTTTCAGCATTGCTCCGCTGAAACACACGCTCTCGTACCCATGTGTTTTTAATCTATACAGCAGTTTTTAAAGAAACTGTGCAATTAAGTAAAAATAGCTAGATGCTAGCGCGAGGCAGGGAAAAGTTTCTATGAGAAACTCAAACGTGAAGAGACTATTCGCAAGCAGGCGGTACATTCATGGTGCTGACAATTGACAGGATGCCTGCTGACATTACCAAGGTGCAATCTTGGTCATATTTAATCTTTTTGGGCAGCTATTTGGACAAGCTTTTCAGGAAAGAAAACTGTTTGGGGGGGAGGGAGAAAGGGAACAGGATCCTCGGTCGTACTCGCTCTCTCTCAAGATGCGGCTGGTTTCAAACTTGGACTGCTAGACACTAACACAAAGTAAATTGTGAAAACCACCATGATATTAAAAGTAATAAATACAGGAGACCCTGCAGAACACAAAGCAGGAAAGCAGAACCAGCAGCCAAAACAGCCGCTTTCAAATAGCTTATGGCCCCGACCCCACTACTTATTTTTTCTTCAAATTTTACCTCTACCCTGACCAGCAGACCCTGTGTGGTCCAACCTTTGTTGAGCTGCTAATAAAATACCTTGTGTCACAACTATTAAGGGTAAAAGACAGTAACGCAGACCACCTGGTAGCGCATAGCTGCCAAAAGATGCCATCATTTCAGCTAAAGTATTTGCTTTCATTTCAGACTTGGTTTCATATCCAAGCTGAGCAAAAGCAAGGTTGTACAACTAAATCATCCAGTGGAAACACTACGTACAATGCAGTAGAATGTTAATAATTAAAAAACAGTCAATGTGCTTTAACAAAGGTTACAGAACATCAAACCCCACCTCTGCTGTCACAGGGCACTGTGAAGCAAGCCAGCCACAAAGGGGAAAATATTATTTCAAAGAGGCAAATGAAGGAAATAACAAGAGTATCATCTAAAGTATCAGCTTGCCAGAACATAGCAACGTTATTATGTTTTTATCTTAGTCTCTAACTACATAAAAGAGATTACCCAAAGCATTTGATGCCTACATAAATCTGCTTGCAACAGAATTAATGACTTAATAAAACGCTGCCTGACACAGTTTATGTTTTTGTCAAAGGTAGATGGTTTTATTTATAAACCCAGGGAGAAGAGGATAGCTTCTCACGAACAGGAAGGTGACAGCAGCAGCAGATACTACTTGATTTCAGAAAACTGTGTAGTTTAATCATTTGTTAAAGTAGACCTTGGCATTTAGTCCTTGTATTCTCACGCACACCCCAATCACCGTAGCTATGACTCCGATATCATTACGAGCATGCTTAAGTCTTAGCTGCTTCTCTCCTAAAAAACACATCTCCTGACTGCTGAGAAAAGTTTGTCTATGAGGCTTGTGTATAACCAACCAGCTCTGAAACCGGAAAAAAAATAGAAAGAATCAATGAATACTTAGTCTTGAAATCTCCTGTTTGCAAACAACCTCAGGATTTCAGAGCCGTGACATGATTTTTCAAAATACTTTGAATTTTTAACATGAATGAAAAATTCCAGGTGGCAACTAAACACTCCCCTAAATTTCATTTTGTCATCAGTAGCTTCCCAAATCAACTGTATTAACTTTATCTGGTGGGACGTGGTGGGAGGTTTGCAATATTTCATGTCTTGCTTTTTAACAATTTCCTAAGAAGTTCACTGTTAACAGAAAAAAACCACGCTCGGTCTCTACACCAAAGCGCCAGTGATCTGCAAAACACATGTTTATTTTAAAAAGTGTCCAAAACATCAAAACAGAAATCCTTAAATCAAGCAAAATTTAACTGAGGTGAGGCTATAGCACCAAATTATTTTGGCACTCAAACGCTACTAGTTGACGGTGATTACCTACCACAGGCTTCAAGCAGCGGCAGCCCGGATAGACGTGTGTCGGGCAGCTCTGGCCAGGGCTCTGCTGAGGTTCCCCGTTAAACAGGCTGGTGTGCGGCTCGTCAGGCATCTGCTCTAACTTGTCCCTCCCCCTCGAAGAGACTGGGGATTATGATTTGTTTTAAAAAAACTAAACTAAATCCAGTTGAATAGCCTCCCCCAACCTCACTGAGTGTCACTAACACAACCTACAGAGCCCTGGAAACAAAATACAGCTGAGCCGGAGTAAGACTTGCGTGACTTCAAATAGCAAAACTTCGCCTACCTCAAGGCAACTCCTGTTTATTCAGCCTTTTTGCAACCAATGAACAGAAAAAAACCCCCAACCTGCAATCCATTACATTTCCGTTTCTCCTCCATCTGGCACCCTTCCAGGAAACAGGATACAACTAGCCAAGTGTGCAAAGGCTTTACTAATCAGTTTGCCAAATATACATTTATCATTCCCGTCCTAGCCTTGGGGAGCGCGGCTGTTCGTTAGGAGGTTTCAACTGCAGCTCTCCAGCATGCAAAGACCAACGTATCACACGCCGCTCTCGGCACGCTTCCCTCTGCTGCAGCACGCAGCGGCTGGGAGGATGGAAAGATTTCTCTTTACATAACAAGGTTCATTTTAAAGAGAGAAACAAAAAGTTAATAGCACATAATATAGTGCATGTACAGTATATCAATTATGATGTCACTAAAATCATTCCGTCAGATTTTCCATGTCACCTCCTTTCAGCATGTCTCAAAAATAGTCTCATTCAGTTTTTCAAATATAATGTTTAAAACAGTTAAATATTCAAAAAGCACCTCCGTTTCTCTCTTTCCATCTCTCACACACACAGTAAGTGGGCTAAGGAAAAATCACAGCTTTACCAAGCCCCAAACTCCAGCACAACAGAAAGGAAGGAAGCTTCATCTCCCTGCAACAAGACCCACTACCATGCTTGGGACCAGCCCATGGTGGGTCAACTCCACACTGCTACGGAGCTACCCGAAGGCAGCTCTACATTCACACTATCGTGAGTCGAGAACCCAATCTTCCCTTCATTTTGAGTGGAAAGAGTCTCAGAGACCTGGGCTGAAAGTCCATCTATAGTTACCGAGTCAAGGCACACCACCATTAGTCAGAGGTCTTTTTCCAAAAGGCAGCAGACTGTAAAAGGGATTCATCCACAAAGACAGTAAAGACTTAATTTAACTGACAATTGTAAAGTGCCCTGCTATGCCATAGGCCACAAAAAAATTAATTTGCTGTCTTTTACTTCTCAAGGTACACAGACACAGCAGCAGGCACCATCTAAGCAGGGTGTAAATGTGTATCACACTGACCAAGAGTTTTCCTGCTAACTCATTCGCGACTCCCCTTGTTTGGAAACTCTGTCCAGGACGGCAGGTATCCTGAGTTAGCCCAGCCGACTTACACCTTGGAGGCTTCTGCAGTGGAATCACCATTGTCACGTGTAACCACATTACTATCTATCTTCTAAGTCAACAATCTCCTTATAATTGCTTGGTATTGAAAATCGTAGCCCTCTATTTTTTACCTTAGGAAAAAAAAAAAATCAAAATTGACTGTTTCAATGGGACAACACTTCCACAAATTTGGACAAATTCAAATAGACAAAGGCAATTTCAGCATAGCAAGATAATAGAGTAGGACATATGGAGGACAAAATACTTCTGCTATCCTGTCATACACAGGTGAGCAATACCCTCTAATCATTACTTTAGGTGACACAATAAATGATCTCCAGATACAGAGGACACCTTGTTATTACAGAAATCGGGATACAACCTGGCTGGGGAATAATCTTCCATGGTATCTCATTCCCACAGTACACAGCAAGCATAGCGTCTTGCACTGAAACTCTTCTGAAAGCAGCAAAGACCGTTTTCTCTCTTTTGGGAAATTAAAACTTCTGCAATTATGAGTCTGGCAACCCGGCTGCATGTTAACTGAGCCAAGTTAATCACTGGTGTCACTCCAAAATCAGGGAGGATGTCCCAGGGATACATTTTTGTCCGTAACAATTAAAACCATCACTCTCATTTTGACAGGATGCAATACAAACGCCTTGGAAACCTCTCTGCTTGCCTTGCACCCCAGATGGTGGGGAACCTCAGGTTACTTGAGCAGAAGATTAGGTCTCCTCCTGCCCTTCTGAGGATCTCGGGCACACACCCAAAGTGATTTGCTGTGGGTTTTTTTCCTTTGGCGGTATTCTGGGACCCTCCTAACTTTATCTGTCCATCTTGTCTCTGATAACAATACATTGACTACTTTTTCCATGGATCAACTGTAATCTTACTTCCTCATTGAAAATTCAGATACTGACACAGACTGCAATCCTGACACGTCCTAATAAATCACCTAATATATTATTTTTTCTTCTACATTAGCTGCTTTCTGGTAAAACCCAATACTTCGTCAAGGCTGAACGTTCCATAGTTGCCTTCAGACCGTCCACCACTGGCTGAGTGCCCATGCAACGTCTCCTTTAAGCTCTCCAACTTTTACCTATCTATTTTCATCCCACTGGAAAATATTCCATTGCTTCCTCACTTGCACTTTTGCAATTTCTTTAGTTTTTTGCTGCCTTACATCAAACTATTCCACCATCCTTACAAACCTGTCCCTAACATCAACTTTTTCGGGTTCTTTGTGGTTCCCACACAAACTTGAATTTTACTTCATGTTCTCCTGCAACAGAAGTAACCTTTGAAAATACCTTACAGACACACTCGCTGGCTATCATGGACTAAATTTTCCTCAAACTTAAGAGCTTCAGTTTTCACTTATTCCAGAAAAGCAGCCACTTTGGAACAGAATTCAGTTTTCTTAACAGATGATGTAATTACGTGCTAGAATTTATTCACCAAGGTTTGATGCTTTACACACGAGGCACAGCCATTTGCAGGAAAATACCAGGGGCTTGCTGCCTCCCCTGTGCAGACATCCCCTGCCTGGCAGCCAGCTCTGACCCAAGCCGGGCAGCTGCAGAAGGGGAGGTGCTGGTAAATAGAAGCCATATCACCGGTCTAAACTTCACTTTGCTTATCTGTGATTAGCAAATAGCCCCTTTGGGACTTTTGTCAGCTGCAGCCTGCTGCACTGCTGTGAAGCCAATCAATAACCTACAGATTACTCCCAATTCTTCCACGCCAATTTAGCATAACTAAATGGTTACTTTATTCTGCGGTTGCTAATGGAAAAATGCATTTGTCCCCTTCTCCTTTTCTTGCAGTAGTTTCAGTATTATACAACCTCAACTGCTATTTATAAAGTCGCAAGTATGCGAGCCAAGACACATCAGGACTGAAAAAGGAAGTCTGCAACTACAACCAGCACTAAAACTGCACCAAGTCCATGCAGCTGAGTAGGCACTTCTCTCATCCTGAGCTTTCCCTTTCTAGCAGTTGCAGCTTTCTCAAAGTTATAGTGAACTTCAAGGTAATAGGTTTTCAAAATGCATTCCTGGTCTAAAAATTTAAAATGCCTAAGTAAACTAAACTGATTGATTAAAAGAAGTCTAAAGCTTGTCCGTAAGTTCTACTGTTAAGTTGCCAGCAAGAGTCACCAGCACCCACTGCAAGACAAAATATGACTCTAACATATTGCTTTTCCTAGACTATCAAAGAACATTTGTATTTTTTTCTTGTTAACAGGAAAATAAATTATGATTCATTTTGAAGCAAGAAAGCATTTCCATCCATGCAAAATATACTCTATCATTCAATTTGCAAGCAGTATCTGATTTGGGCAAGACGTCCTTGCAGCAAAGCCCACAGGCTGTAACGCATACACACCTAAGGAAATACAGATAAACTAAGTATTACACATTATGAGCTGTTGGTTTTGTAGTCCCAACTAGTAATCTCCAGCAAAAAACAGAAGTTTGCACAAATTTTCTAACATGGGCATCTCTTAAAAATAAGCAACAATATCGTGTAGTCTTGAAAAGTGGTAACAACTAGTCTATACCAGTAATGACAAGTTGTTGCAGTAAGCAACTTTGATTTCTCCTACCTCCAAAGTAGAAAGCAGAATATGTTTTATAAAACGCACCTTCTCTTCAATTGACTTTGCACATCTTGCACTGTTATCAGCATCGTGATAACTTTCCTTTGCTTTACCATAGGCCAAGTACACCTTTCCCTTGATCGCTATCTCAAGGCACTTGGGTGAGTCCACATATGCTTATCTAGGTTCTGCCACTCTGGATTTCTATTTTCTTTTAATTTCTCATTGCCCAAATAGCAAACATTGCAGATGCCATAGTGTTTACTGGAGAAGGAGCAGAGACAAGTGTTCCATGTTCCTCACCGCGACGCACAGTGATACTCCAGTGGCAGGGTAGGGGGGAGCTGAGTGTTTTTCAGGATTTTCTTTCTTCTTCCCATCCCCTCAAAAAAGCCATGTCTAACATTAACTTATCCATTTTGCTGTGGATGCTCAGAGATCAGCGGAATTTAGCTGTGCTATGGGAGCGACTTCCACAGCAGTGGGCAGGCTGTTGAGGAAAGGGGGAATTGCGGTTGACAGCTCCAGTTCAGAGGACTCCGACTCTCCGAGAGGGATCTGTGGGTTTCATACCAACACAGCATGGCACATGATGGACACGGGCTCTCAGCTGCCCATGCGGATCAGCAGGTGGGCTGCTCCACTGAAGCAACAGGAGCTCTTCCAGCATCAACATGCTCCTTCCTAGCTATAAACACATTTCACTTACCTAGTCTGTAAAGCAGAGACACAGAGATCGAAGTGACCAAGCCTGGTTTTGATCAGCTGGGATGCACCAATTCAATCAACTACAGATTTGTACCTTCAGCAGACAGTGCTTTGCGGACGCTCAGGAGGTTTCCAACATCATGAAATACACTGATGGTTAGACATGAGAGGGTGAAAAATTGACTGTTGAGATAGTAAATCCTCAAAGCTGCTTTGATTGTCCATACAGCCCGTCTCTTGCCCTGGCATTTATTGGCTTTCCAGGCATGGAATCTTTTGAATGATCATGCATCTAGCAAGTGACGCTGCAAAATGTGGAAGTGCATTAAATCTGCGTATATTTGGCAATTAAACCTCTGCTACCGGTTTTCTAACCACTTCAGACACACACTGGGTAAACACAAGACCCAGATTTTGTAGACATCTCCACAATGAACAACCTCAGAGAAATGGGAGTAACTTTCACTATGATTCTTTGTTTCCCATTTAGGTCAAGCATTAACTTTCCCCCAGCTGGGGAAAAAAAAAAAAAAGGCAAAAATATTTTATCAGAATCATCTAGAATTTTACTTTTATATAGGAAGGGCAGAAAAAGAACTTTACACGAGCACAGGTTACTAGTTCTGTGCCAGGATAAAATCTGCCAATGCTAATCAGGCAAAGAGTACCGCAGTAGTCACAGTACTCACAAAAAATATACCAAAATACAACCACCCAAGAGGAGGGGAGGAAGGGAGATAAAAGAATGACTTAATTCCTTACCACGTCTTCTTACGGTAACACACCGCATCATACCGTGACACTATGATGACAGAATGCACTCAATTACTTTCTTGGAGTATGGGGGTAATGCGTTTACCTCCAATGTATAGGATTTGGGGTTTTTCTGCTTTTCTGTCTATATCTAAGGCTTTTGCAGAGCTACACATGACTCTTCTTGAGGCTTGAGCCTGGAATGGGCTAGCTGCTCCCTCGGACACATACATCTTTTGTGCTGTACTCCAGTTCCTGAAACTGAAAGAAGGCCTGCATGGCACAAGCATCGTTTTGGGGGACTCTTACCTGGAGAGACTCAGCCCGAGAGCTTCTGAGGCTACTGCTCGGCCTCCAGAAGTTTCTTATCTGGTTTATACGTTCAGACAGCTCAGGCAGCATAATAGATCGAGGCTCATAAGATGGGTCTTGAAGCATAACACTGCACAGTTCAGCCTCCAGGCCATGTAGCTAAGCCAGCTTCTGTGAGCATGTGCATATGAAAATAACGCTGAACGCTGAAACTCGAAGACAACAGATAAGGAAAAAGTTTTGTTTCTCTCTAAATGTACTTGCAGCAGAATAACCAGTCTTGGGATCCTTCTACACAACCATGCCAACTTTTGTAATTAACATGTAGAAACAGAAACTGGAAGCTTCCTCATCTTCAAAAAAAATGGAATTTACTCGACCCACTAGCGTCTGTCCCCACAAACAGGAAAAATGTGCAACTCTTAAGCACAGTAACAACCTTCTAAGCTACAGAAATATTATTCTTGTATCAGCAGGATTGAAATTCATCCAGAATCAAACTGATTTAGGACTCGCATAGATAAGAAAGCATTAATTAAACACGGGTTGGCCAACATGTTTTTAAACATAATTTAGCATCTAGTCCAGACCAAGTAGGTGATGTTTAAAAATATCTTAGCTGATTGTGGTTAATTCTACTTGGGAGTCTTTGCCTAAAGGTTTGTCTTGACTAGAATTTGAAGGTGCAAGTTACAACACGCTGATGCACTTTCTAAAGCTCTGGCGCGCACAAGGCAGCAAACGTTGCTAATGTATGCTAGCCGGTCAAGTCGAAGCTTAGGCTCTTAACTTGCTACCACACGCGAAACCTACACCTTGCATTTTCTTCATTAGAACTTTACCTCTTGGAATTCAAGCTGGAACAACTGAGGAAATTACCTCCTCCAGCTGTTCAAATATTCAGAGCTGGCAGATGGATGAAGAGCACTCGTCGGCTTCCAACCCAACGTCAGCTGGCTATTTTTGAAATACCAACAGAGGATGTCTACGCTGGCTGCCTTTATAACAAGGCAGCTGAAGAGAGCTCTCGGCTCATTCCTGTCTCCGCTGGTGGGGCTGACTGCACAGATACAGGGTGGTAACGTCCCTAACCGTACCAGCCAGTTTCACAAGAGGATGTTTAACCGCAGCCTCAGTTACCACATGCCAGCTAATACCAGGCATCAGGACAACTCTTACCATGAAGATTCATCCTTACCTTTTCTACTTGAAACAAGCCTTTTGCCTTCAGCTTTCCAGTACAAATCCTGGGACTATTCATGTTTATGAAAGGGAGAGGAATTGCACCACTGCATCAACATTCACATGCTACCTTGAAAGTACTATTTTAAAAGACCTAGCGCTGAAGGACAAAAACCTCCTTCCACCAAATGCTCCACAGCCAGGTAAGGAAAGACATTGCATCGCAAACTAACAGCTCAGCCTTGGTGGCCTTGGCAGAACTCCAAGACATGCCTTATTCATAAAACCCAAGTAATAAAAGAGACAGACACTCGCCCTTCCTCCTCAAGGATAACACAACTTGGTGCTGATGCAGAAATTGGAAGGAAGGGGACCATCTAAATTACACACTGAAATAGATACTACAAAAGCAAGCAGCTGTGACATTTCAGCCAGGTGGTCATCTTCAGCTGCAGCCAAAAGGAAAAATAACTCTAGACATTTCCCTTGCAGATACTTCCTGATTACAACCTTATGGCTAAACCACCTCATTTTCACTGCCAGTATGCATTTTAATTAATCCTTATGTTCTTAAAATATACTTTGTCAATTAAAAGCCATGATCAGAGACTCTGGTAGGGGCGGGGAGGGGTTTGAGATGTTTAAGCAAGATGTCTTAGTGCTGTAATCAGCACAGATGTAATAGTCAAGCAAATTCTCAGCTGTACTATTTCTTTTCCTGAAAAATTACAGTTGCACGTGGGCTCTCTTTCGCTTGCTGTTTATTCATCTCTCAAAAAGCAAATTAGCATTGTCTTTCAGAAAAAACTTTTATTGATCTAAATCTTCCTTTTATCACTTTAATTCCCTAATCATTTTCACCAACCATTAAATAAAAACCTTAATAAAGTTTTCCTTAGATTGATTAAAAAAAACCAAAACAAGTAGCGTCACAGAAAACAGACTGTTTCATATCGTATACGAACAAAAACCAGAATCACAGCAGACTTTGATACCAGCACACATCCAGAAGATAATCGAGCACTGCTGCCTCTTGGTACCTTCAGCAGTGATTATTCTCCTTGCAGTATTACTGGCTATATACGGTCTTCAAAACCACAACAGTCAGAGAGCATCCTTCCTCCCTCCCTCACCCTTGTCGGAGTAGGTCAGAGCGCTGTCCCGAGGCTGACTAGTTGGGAGGTGACCGGTGCTCACCTTCGGACAACCGCACGCTCGTGTCACAGGCAACCTACAGACAGACAGCAGGACAGCTTGCTGTCCTCTGCCTTCCTACCAGCTCTCACGTGGGCCAGCAGCCAGCCAGCCAAAATCTTATCATCTAAACCTTACCCATCAGTGCAGGGCAAATACACTGACAACATTTTAAAGGGTTAAGAGTGGAAATCAAAACAAGGTGAAAAGGTCATTAAGTCAAGGAGACTTTTGCTTTATTCAAGTGGTTCAAGTTTCTGAAGCCAGACTGGAAAACTGGCCAAGAATAAAAATCATTTTGATTTACCTTCCTTGAGGAGAGAGTGCCTTTTTAATTAATCCCACAGATCATTCACAAACACAGTGAATGGAAATCATATAGTTAAAAATCCTTCAGACTCTTTTAAGTAACTTTAAATATTAGAAGCAACTGCAACCATTTAGAAGAGCACCAAAACATAACACAGCCTGGCTCTTCTAGTTAAAAATTCACACTGGAAAGTGCTTTCTGCTTTCTAAAAACACTGCATTATCTAACTATGTTTCCCTGTTCTAACTTTCTATAAATACTTCAAGGTGTGGTTAGAAAACTGTGGCCAAGTTCTTCAAGGATTTTTAGTTTCCATATCAAGTTCAGGGCTGCAGCATATTTACGTTAACATCTTCTGGAGAATACACTTCATTAACTGCTGTGGCAAAACCCTTGGTGGTCTGCTCCTCACTGACTCTGACCATTGCTGTTTCAGTCATTTGCAAATTACTTCCAGATGGGTATCAGTTACACAGAGATGGAGAATTTTTGTAACATTTATAAATAGTGCAAGAATCCTACAGACATATGATAAGCGTGCTATGCAGCGACACGCACGAGGCAGCAGTGAACGGGGGCACCTGGAGCACATAACCCAACGGGGGGATTCGGCCCGTGGCCAAGCTGGAATCCCTTCGCCTGCACCTCTGAGTAGTACTCAGGTAGGACACTATCTCAAAGGTACAGAAATTCAGACTGTACCTGCAAATGTGATACTTCACAGGGGAGTTCGCTCCCTAAATGCGGCCGTTTAGTGCCATTTCAGATGTCCTCTTCCACCTGCCGCTCCAGGCGGCCATCGGCCTCCCATCTGCATCAGATCTGCCAGTCTTGGGCGGGTGTCTGGGATAACCCGACACATCTGAAAACGGTACAGGATGCATACATCGAAGCACCCAGGTTGCTCCCCATTTCGGTGACGTAGAAGGCACCTTTTAATCAAGCAGCCAGCTTTTACAAGTCTGGTACGCTGCTTCTTTTGCTTTTGTTCACTAGTGTTCATTTTAGAATTCCAGAAATGATCCTCTGAAGTCTCTCCAGACTACGAAATAATTCACTGCATTAAGCAAATGACAACCCCCATTTTAAATGGCTCCTACTGCATTTTTTAATCCCATCCTCTTCATAAGTGCACTGTGTAAGACTTGGTTGCCTACATAATGCATCTAATTGCCTCCCATTTACATTCAATGACATTCCATGATAGTATTTTGCAATATTAATTAGCTAACTGTGTCAGGGGCTAATCTCCTCGCGCATTTGACAAATAGCTGGGCTATAAAAGAGAAAGGTGTCTCCTGGATGAAGAGCTACTAGAGTCTGTGGTGGTGTGGGTACTTACTGCATTCCCATTAAGTTTGTGGGATTTTCATTTGCTTTAGGCCTGTAATTCTTGGGAAAAGTTCTAGATGGAAAAGTCACTTCTAGCACAGATTTCAACACCACTTTGCTTTAACTGTCTCTTTTTTTTTTGGCGTGGAGATGCATACCCAGGTTTCTGTGCTGAAAAAGCAACTTTGCTAGTTGCCTGGCAGTCAGAATTTGGATCTGTTCAACTATAAATAAAAGCCAGGAAGAAAGTTTGAAAGTCGTCTTAGAGTGGAGAGGGAATATTGTGGTTGTAGAGTGGGAACTACGACAGTTTGGTTTTTTCCTGTCCACAACCAGCAAATAAAAGATCGAAAAATTTCTGTAGCCTGTCCCATAGAGAAAAAAGGAATGGGCAGAACAAAGCAAAAACACGTCATGTCTGGTGCTGGTCATTTCTATTAAGGAGGGAAGCTGCTTTTGTTTGAATCTACTTTATTATATTCCCTCTAGGAAGAACGTGAACTGAAGCAAGGGAACCTGCACAGATAACATAACCAAGTCTTCGAAGAAGAGGAGGAAACCTTCCTCATCTCACTGCTGGTGCGCATGGTCAGAGCCTCTACAAATAGGCTTCAAATTCAAAGCCGGCTGCTGCTGCGAAACACTGCTAACAACTCACAGGTCTCGGTTAATGGTTTTCAACTGAGAAGTACTGTACACAGAGACTGCCTACTTATGGCTCTGCTCTCACAGGTGTTTTCCTGACCTTCTGCATCCACGATAGCTGTTGAATTGGAGAGAATTCTTCTTTTAATCTTTCTGGAGATTCTCCTACCTCTGCAGCTGTAGGAGGTTAACTTGAATATAAAATGAAAATCGTATTTTTTTTTTCTCTTGTACTAAGGAATTATGATTGATTCAAGTATGCCCAAACATTTGGCAAGTACCATTTTTGTTGGTTGTTGGTTTTTTGGGGTTTGGTTTGTTGTTTTTTTTCCCCCAGAAGTTGCTTTAACATATCAAGTAAGCATGCTAGGAATGATTTAAAGCTTCTGGGTGTTCACATATAATTCTGAGCTTAATGCTAACCTGTTTTTTTTGCAAACTGAAATGCTGGAATTTAGGGGGACAATGAGGTACACAGAGCAAATGGCTCTTAGGCAATAAGCACAATAGATGATGGCTGAAGGCTCTGCCTTTTCTCTTTACCTTCTGACACACCCCAGGGTTTATGGAAGTTACACAATATGCACACCCACCAGTTAGGTTTTATTGCTTAATTACTTGT